CTAACCAAATCGTCACTTGAGGTATTCTCAACGAGATCACTGCTGCAGCCAGCTGAGCCTTGCCTGGCCAGGTGATGCTGCCCTAGCAGCTCTGCAGAGAGAACCAAGGAGGAGCTGACCTGGCACAGGTCCTTGGGAGGACTGGAGGGAGCAACAGCTCAGCCCGAGCCCTGCTCACACCCTGGTCCTTGCTGCCTCACTGGCGGAGGAGGAAGGAGACTGCCTGGCTCTCTGTGGGTGCTCTTGCAGCAAATATTGCCCTTAATTACGTGATTAAGAGTCACCAGGCTGCATTTCAACTACATGGATGGTTAGACATTGCTAAAGTGGAAAAAAAGAAGAATTTTGCCAAACTTGCACCAGCTTAATTCAATTTGCGGCACAACTCCAGCTGATAGCTTTTATTTTATTTCTCCCTTATTAAAACTAGAACTGGAACATTAATGATAGTGCATGTGTACATATCTACACATGTAAATTTAGCGAAATCCCAGTGGTACAAAACCTAGATTTATCCCCTCAACTGTTCCAGATGTATGAACTTCAAGTGGCACATTTTGCTATTAAACTTCCCTTATTTTCAAATGCAAATAAAATAATTAAGAAAACTCCACTATTAATTAAACAATTTAAAATAGTCTGGTGATCACAGCACAGTGAGAAGCTGTTATTTTTCTGTCACTTTTCCTACAACAAGCGAGCCACTCTGTATTGCTAAGAAGACATGAACAAGTGAGCACACATGCACTGGAAAAGGCAGAGGAATAATGGGAGGCAGGAAGGGAGAAGAAACAAGGTCAATAATAAAGTTTATCTGTGTAGGTTACAACCTATTGTATATAGCAGGGAGTTATGCAAGGAAAAGCAATCTTGGTTACTATCACAAAAAATAGCCTGTAAGCTTTTCTTCACATTGCAATGCTGCTTCTAGGCTAAGAGAAAGTTGTTTTGATCCAGTTACAAAGTTATTATTATTAAGTTATTATTAACTGATTATTATTAACCTGACATTGAACTTCTTTTGATCCATTACTCTATCTCCCTCCTAAATAACACATTATTTTCCTTCAATAAAAACAAAGCACAACACACCAAGAAAATTCCTTTACAGAAAACATAATGGACTTGAGAAACTACAATATGGCAGAGTTTTCATCTCTTGTGCCCCAAAAGTTCAAGACAAAATGCACTGTTTTCTACCTACAGAAATAAATCACATTGAACATCTGCTTGCACATCAGATTAGCAACAGCTCAAACAGTTTGCCTCAGCTTAATAAAAATATTAACACTCTGTGTTGGTTTCTTTTACAATACTGAGGAAGAAAAATAGAATGCAAGAACAAAAACTTGTCTAGAAATCAACAAAACAATGAAAACAATTTCTAGGATGGGAAAAAAAAAAGCAGGGCAGAAAATTTATATATGAGGATTCAGAAACACCAGAAGAGGATACAAGAGATGTTCAGTTCACAGACACAACACAAATTAGTTTTTGCCTTGCTATGGTATCAGCTATCACACTGGTTGCATTCAGTCAACACAAGCAAACCCTGTTCACTTTCCAAGGCTTCAACTGCTATGTACCCTTGACCAGACAGTTTTGGTTGCAATGGCAGGTCAACAATACAAACAAAACTTTTGAAACCAGTGATTTTATGAAATTTTAGTATCCTGACAGTCAGAAAATGCTAGACTGCCACAATCTTGTGATCACTTTAGAATGTAACAATTTGAATCTGCTGGCATTTTACAGAATAGCTTTTAGCAAATATTAAACAGGCACTTCTACATTACCATGGTAATTTTTTAACACCATCCACTTTGTTTACAGCACAAAAAATAATACCATTTCTGCTGTGGTAATTTAATTCAGCAGTAGTTTTCTGATCAAAGATTTTTCTTTTCTGTAGACACATACATAAAAGCAGCAGAAGTAGCTGAAGTCAGCATAATTGTAAAAGCTGCATTTCTGTAGAAAAGCTTCACAGTAAAAAGGTAATCAACCTGCTCACATCAACAGCTGCGAAATCCAAAAGGAAAGAGGCCTGGAATTGTAAAGGGAATTCATCATTAACTAGTGGGATGCATTTTAGTCCAAAATTATTTAACATTTATATCAATGGAGTCAAAAAAGAACGAAAGCACCATTAAACAAAGGTAAAACAGAATCAAAGACCAGTGAATGACACAAAACCTGACTGCTGAGTGAGCAGCATGGCTTTTACTCCAGGGAATTCAGTAAAAAGGGAAAAGAAAATAGAAGAAAAGAAAAAGAAGAAATTAAACATGCATGCTTTCTATTTCCCAGAATACACACATTAAAAATATAATTTCAGAACAAGGAAACCCCACACTAGGCCCCAGATTCCTGGAGATTCAACACTCCTTTGTTAAGGACTTGGGAATCGTGGGGTCCCAGTTTGAGAGTCCAGAGTCCTTACTCTCACATATTTCATACTTAGGGTTGCTTCAGAGACATGGATTATTCAGCAAGCATACAAGAAGTTACATGTTTCCAAATGACCAACTATATAAAAGGTTATTGTATTTAAGAACAAAGAATGCAAGATAAAAGCTAGTGATTTGAAATAATACCATTACAGAACAAAATAAAATTAAAACCAAGTAACAAGCATACTCTCATTCCAAGGCTATGCTTAAAATCAAGAATCAGTCCTTTAAGCATTTAAATAGGTAAGCAGTGAACAGGAATGGTTATGTAATCTTTCCATGCAGCTTCTGGAAATTTATGTACTCTGCTGGCATACATACTTTAGGAAGGATCCTTAAAATAGTTTAGGATTAGAGATGAAGATTTGAAAGAATTTTGAAAATGAGAAAAGGATGTGAAAAACAATTTTTGAAGAAAAACATAAGAAGCTCATTATAACTCTTGCAAACAAGCAAGAGGAGTCTACAAAATTATTTGATTATAACCTGTAAAATCCTATATTGAGGCATAAATTTGGTTACAAAAGATGTTTAAATCCAGAGGATAATGGTACATTTAAAACTATGGTTGGACATAGAAGCCAGGTAAACACAGGCTAACAGATGAATACTCTTAACAAGAGCAATGAGGGATGGGAGCTACTTAACAAGCCTGGTGGAGTGTTCTTTAGCACTGGGACCTTATGCAAACAATTGAGGCACTACAGGCTCAAATTCAGCTAAAGCCATGGGGTAGAGTCTTTTCTTTATGAAAATCTACTGGCTTGTGGTATACACAGCACAGTCAGAGTATTCTCTCTTCCCCTGATATTCTAGCAAGATGGAAACATTGACTTCTGAAAAAACACCCAGATCAAACCAAACAAAAATTTCCAGCTCTTTCTCTACTATCAGGGTAGCTCTTTTACACCTGACTATTGCGTATCAGGAGACTTCCATTTACAAATAATCTGAAATCTTTGGGAAAAACTAGGTAGCTGCTGATTGTAAAAAAAAAATTGTATAGGACAGCCATTCTTCTAGTGATCTTTAAGATGCAATTTGAGCATAAAGTATGTTTTCATTGTCTGATTTGTTATCTATAGCTTAATAAAATTTTACTGCAAACAAATACGAGTTCCTTGTGTGTTATCCATACTACCCCATTCTTTGCTCACTGCTCTGTTTATTTAAGATTGGAAGAAAAGTTCTGCCCAATTTTTTACAAAATCTTTGACTCTGCTATGTGGCAAAAGATGTATGCACCAGAATACTTGGGTGTCACTACCATTAAATAGAAACTCTGGAACTGCATGTTAGCAGCCAGCTTCCAGAGGCAGCATCAGCAATTTTCAGCTGCAGAGTGCTGTAAATGCTTTGTGAAGGGCTCCTTTCCATTTCCCATTTCTTGGACAAATCAATAGTCCAAGATTCCTTTTTCTGTTTACTTCATGCATTTTGATTCATAGCCAGTTAGCAGATCAATACTGATTTGTATTCTAAAGAATGGATAATCTTTATTTTTATACAGGAATAAGCTCCAACTAAACTTTCAAATATCAGAGAGAGATCCTTCAATGGTAATGATGCACAAGAAAGATTAGCTGATACTGGTGGAATTTGGGTTGGTAATATTTCAAGTGTTTTGTGGATGGATATCCAAAGTAAATGAAAAATGCTTGTTGTCAATTCTACGCTTGCTGCTGCTCATTAATTTCCAAACCAGAGCTCTGAGAATCTGCCAGTTCCTGTGTACATCATTAGTTTTTGTACAGAATTTGGAAACTAGACTTACTATGTGATAGAGGGAGCCAAAGAAAAATAACAAGATGGTACCTTAAAATAAAATATTTTGTTACTGCATAGTGTCTGGAATTTAACATACTGAGAAACAAATGTCATTGAGAGATGAGTATTCTCTTGATATATGGAAAGTGCTATAAGGTGAATGTCTTATCACATCTAAAATATGTTGTGCTCTTCTAACTCCATTTTTTGGACACACTTGAAAAGAAGGAAGTTACTGCAATTTTCCTTTTGCATCCCATTCAGCAGAACCACTACCTTCACATTTATACTTGCATTCCTGAGGGCTGTATGTTAAAAACAGTTATATGCAGTAGAGCTCCTCTTACCTCAAAGGAAAACAAACACCTCCCACGAATTTTCCTGCCATTATCAGGCCTTCAAAGTACCTGTAGTAAAGGGCTTGTCTGACAACACTTAGCATATTGAAAAGTGATGGAGATGCTGGGAAGAAGGTTTCTAGCCAGTCAGGAAACTGCTGCTGCTGCTTCCCTTTCCACCAGCAGTCAAGGCAGACATACCACACTGCATTTCCAAGTGCCATTTTCTAATTCAGGAAGTAAAACAATGCTGTTCATCCTTAATTTTAACAGCAAAATCAAGAATTCTAAAATATTTCTTTGAGACCTAGTTATTGTCTGAAGAATATAAATCAGCGCAACAGCATTAGTCCAGAGAAGGTTTGAAGAACACTATTAAACCAAGACTGTCTCTTATCACAAGCACAGAGCAATGACTTTTGTTAATGTTATTTTTACTCACATGGTACAAAGCAGTTTCTGGTCCAGGTGTGCCCATGACTTCTTGTCTCAATGACTCCATTTGTAAACTAGGCAACAGTGAGTAATGACTTGGACTACTACTCTTGTCTCCCTTCTTTTTGGACTTTTTCCCAGTATCCTTTTTGCTATTCCTTTGAAACATGTAGTCTTCTTGACCTATTTTCTCATTGCTCATATAGCGAAGCAATGAATTTTCTGTTGAAAGGAAGGTAATGGAAAACACCATTGTAAACTGTTACAGGCATGTAAATCCTGCTTCCAGAACATGCAATATTCTTGCTAAGATCTACTGCCAATTTTAACTCTTTGGGACTATTTCATTAACAAAACCCATATGCTTCTTTGGTTCAGATATAGTAAGAAAGCAAACTTTTGGTAGGGAAAATTTATTACTCTTACAGTTTTCTGGTATATTTTAAATAAGCGAAAATATATAAAAGAAGATGCACATCAATAAATTTTGTCTTGGAGTTTTAAAAAAATGAGCGATGATGGACTTAGGATAATTTTTGGGGTTTTGCTACTTTTTTACCAGGAGTCATAATTAATACAAAAGTTAGTGGCACCACACATTTTAAAGTACTTTGCTCTGAACATTCATTGGAGATCATTCACCATATCATAAATACTTTCCCTGAATACTCTTCCAGCATGTAGCAATTTGTAGCTGACCCAGAAGCAGTCTGTCAATTTAGGAAACCTCAGATTTCTTTTTCACAAAACTGTCTATCTTTCCTTGCATTAATGTGAACTTCTAGTACCCACTACCTCCTGTGGCAAGAGGTTCTTTAGCTTGAACATGAACTGCACCAGCTCATTTTCTTTTTATCCAGCAACTGACAGATATTTGAACTCTCTGCTCTTGTTTCAGATCAAACACTGACAAATCTGTTTCCTTACTTCACTCCACACAAGCTTTTATAAATGTTTTTTACGTCCTGCTCAAGTTCCCCAAATTGATAAAGGCCAGCCTGTGTAACTAACCCCAGTTTAGGAATCAATGCAGGCATCTGATTAATTTTTGTTGTCTCCTAAACCTTCTTGAATTCAACTGTATTTTTCTTAAGAGATTAGGAGACTGGAATTGCACACACACATAGCATGAGCAAGAACTGACACGGCAGCATAAGAATGCTTCTAAATTTGGTCTTGTATTCTTTTCCTAATAATTCCTAAGTGTTTCCTTTTTTGATCCCTACTGAATATTTAGTTAACATTTTTGCAGAAATAGCTATCATTACTGTAACATCTTGTTCCTGGCTAATAACAGCAATCTCAGAGGTCATAATTTTGTACATGTAGTTATGCATCCAAGCCTCATAACCCAGAAGAATCTTATCCTCTTTGATTTTGAAGTAAATCTCATTCTGCTCTAAAATGCTTTCCAACCAACTTCCTCAATCCTAAAATAGACTCTGCAAAAAATTAGGCATATATAATAAAGAAAATACCAAGACAGGTTCACAAACATACATAGTTAAGCAAGCAGCAAAATGATGTTGAAATACATAGCTTAAAGTAAGGTAAAATCCATAATACCTTGTATAAGTTATAGGTTCAGATTACTTACCTCTCCTAGTATCTCTTTTAATTTTATTGGGGTCTTCATAATCTCCCACCCAGTTGTATTCTACTGGCATAGAAATAGGCCTCAGCTTCCCTGGAAACAGAGGAAAAAATTGAAATCATGCGCCATAAGGCAGCATTAACCCAAGGTTATTTAGAAGAAAGAACAAATTATGTGCTAAGCTGCTATTCTACAGGGTTGCTTATGAAAGAGGATCCAGCGTTGCCTCTGAACAAGAGGTCAGGACAGGAGTTCTGTTTTGTTTAACAGAAAAGAAGCAGCTAAGTATTTAATGGATTTTTTTTTTAAGTTTAGAAAATAAATCCAGTGCCCTACCAAATCATCAGTGGAGTGACGTCTGACACTGACAAACGCATTCAAATTACTTCAGTTTCCACTGAGCAGAATCTATTTCTTATTCTGGAAGCCCTTGGCACACACATGAGAGAACTGTTTTAAAGCACATGGGAATTGTTGGTAACAGAAACTTGTGCATATCACTGAAGTACCTTCACAAATAGCATATTTGCTGGTGGGTTTGCAAGATCCATCAGTGACTAAGTGAGAAAGGAAGTAGAAAACCTCTACATGTAATTTCTTCTGTAGCATTTCATCCACAGAAAGCAAAGTACATTATTATTGCTAAATTCACTTTGACTTCAGACAGCAATAAAAAGAATAGCTGAAGACTATCCTATCTTTTAAATTTTGATTGGAAGATGCTGAATTGATTTTAAAAAATGCTGTAAACTATGATTTCTGTTTAAGGATTGCACATATATAGCTGAAAATCAGTGTGCTGTGGAACTTAGTGGGGCCACTTAAGAGTGGTCTGAATTCTTTAGCAAGTTAAATAGTGCATTGAAACAAAGCGTGGGCAAATAATGTACTGAAAGAAAACAGAGAAGCAAAGCACATGGCATATTATCTGACATACTGAAAACAAAATGTTTTCCCAACAAGATCAGGCCTTGCTCTTTTTAAAGCAATCTACCAGTCACAAATCAAAAAATCAAGTAAATAGTTTGATTTTAGAAGTAGCAAAGCTTAAAGTAAAAACTTCAAAAGTCCTGTAAATTATTTTAGTAGAAAATCCCTACACAAAAGTCTTGTTCCACATTTTTGAGGTTAAATCCTTGATACACTGCAAAAAAGAGACATGTTTATAATGAAAACAAATATTCAAACATGTCCATTTCCCTGCTGAAGTACTGCATCCATGGAAAACACACCAACACCATGCAGGCAGCACAATGATAAAACTTATCATCTTAAAAAATAAAAAATTGAAAAAAAAAGTTGTATGTTCTGTTTAGACCACAGGATCAGGTCACACATACTTCACTACTCAGGAAAACCACATATATTTTAAACTTTTCTCTTATCATTCATTTTCCTATTTAGGGACACATATTGAAGTCTGATTCAATCTGAAGTTGGTGAGATTTAATGCACAGAGTAATTTCCTGAGTGGGGATGTATTCGGCTCATGTTTACTTGATCAGAAACAGCTCTCAACAGTTTCTTCTTCTAGAAAGTAAAACCTTTTCTTTGTGAGGCTAAACACACAGCATCTTATTAATAGGAACTGCACACTTAATAAAATAGAAAAACTACAAAATTGATTGTTAAAATCTGGTTGTTATCAAAAGTAACAACACATTTTCTGCAAAACTTTCAGCTGTTCCAAGTTTCTGCTTTTGTATCTGGCATTAAAACTGCAATGATCAAATTTGTTTCTTTCCTTAAACTCAAGTTTCATTTGCTTGTTTCCTCTCCTAACAACCTTGTTTTTATACCCCTATGGATTCCCTAATCTCTTTTCCATTGGGAGGACACTCAGGAAAATTTTTATCTTGTAAGTGAACAGAAGCTTTCCAAGGCCAATTAGCAGCAACTATGGAAGACCTCAAAGCCAGTAAGAGCATGAAAGAGAAATATCTTTGCTAACATTGTCAAAAAAATGTCAAAAAATTCCAATAAAGAAATTACAGAGGGCCTTATTAACCTTTCATGTAGGAGAACTGAGAAAAGTTTTGTAAAAAAGTTGACACATCACAAAAATTAATGTTAATGTTGAAAATAATTATTTCTCTAGGCCTGGGAACTCTCTTTGACCTTCTTTAATGGGTGACCATAAGCCATAAAGTGTTATTGTCGTTTTCCAGATTTCTGTGAAACCCTAAGGTCATGCCTACCCACAAACCTTATGTTAATAAATGCTATGTGGGAAACTTTAAAATTTAATGGTGAAATGGTAATATTTTTAGAAAATACACTTAAATGAAAATGGACTTGACAATTCATTAAAAATGGACTTGAATTCATGAAAAAACATGAGATCAAAAGACTGTAAAACAAATGTGTTAAATAATGACTGATTTTCAGTGGAGTCTTTGATCCATGTCTTTATGAATCTTTTTGCTAGCAGAAAAAAAAGGCCAAAAAAGTTATCCTATAACAAAATAATGGATTCAGCAGTCCTTGAAGAAGATACGTGTTCTTCACTCTCAACCACCAGTATTAAAATTTAATGTCTGGAACAGTGAGTACATCTCTGTTAATGGAACTGACTGCAGCCACCAATTGTAATATTTGAAATACTGGAGTAATAAAATTGATATATCCATTTTCAAAACTTAGCAGTTACTGTGCACAGAATGGGCATGGTTAGAAAACACTTGAAAACACTTGGAAATCAAAAGGATACTGAAGATTTTTCAGCAGGATGGTGTACTTGTGTAGAAAATTTTGTGAAAATGCAACCTTTCATGTTGTGCAAGAAAATTGCTCTAGGTCCTGAGGATATTTTATACAGCTCAACTTCAATTTATATCAAGGTTCCCAGGTGATTCTGGTGCTTGGCTGCATGATGTACTAAATCTATGCTTCCTCATAATTTATATCTATTTTCTTCACAAAGGGATATGATGACAGGATTGTTACAATGACTCTAACATACAGCTTGTGCTCACTTTTAAAGTTGAAGTATCACATCAAGTAGGTTGAAAAAATATTCAAGAGTGTGCTCAGTTAATACTATAGTAGTCAAAACACCTTTTTTAAACATGAGATTTCCTCTTCATTTTCCTCTATAGACTAACAACTCTGTGTCTGTACAATTTATTTTTGGCAACAGAAAACCAGTTCTCCCAGTCCAAAGCTAAACAAGTTACCATACAAGGTAAAGGAAGAGTTCCAGCAGTTTCAAGGGTAAAATAAGCTGGAGTACAAGGGTTTGAGCATCAGAACTCTTACCTGATATTTACAGAATTTACAGAAATTGTTCCTGAATTCTCATTCTAAATAAGCCAAAATCCAATAAGTGGATGTAACACGAATACACATGCATGTTTACATGCAAAATTGCTTCTTAAACAACCTATGCTCTCAAATAATGAGGAACTGCTATATGTAAAAAGCCATCACTTGCAATATAGGAGGTTATAGAAGGTTAATACAGTATTACCAAAAAAAGACCACTACCATCAGTCATACTTCAGTTCTGGGACTAAAGAAAAATTATAGAGTTTTAGAGAGCAGTGCAGCATGAAAGCAGCATGTCATCTCTTAGTAAATCTGAAGGAGTTTAATTGTTATTATACCTAAGAAAATTTTTCCAAAGCTGAATTCCAAAGCTTATTCAAGTCTTACCCTTATAATGAGAGAAAATTTCCATTCTGTATTTTTAGTAAAAAAATATAAGCTTCTGGTATATGCTTTTTTCAATAAAATGATACTGAAACATAGTCTGGAAAACTAAGCTGATAGCAAAATATATGTTCAGAAAACCCATCAGTTTTAAACTGGACTTACCTATCATAATAAGTATTTTTCTTTCCTATAACAGAATAAGCTCTTAGTCTGAAATTAGACTAAAGTAGTATTGAATTCTCAGCAAAATCAATGGCCACCAGAAATATTTTCATGGTTAAAAACAAAAGCAGATGCATGAAAATCCTAAAATCAACAAATGGTGATTATCTTTATGAGATCAATGCTGTACCATATGTCGGTGTGCTCTCTCTCCTCCCAGGACCACTTGTTCTTCCTTTCTCATACTCATAGCAGTACAAAACTGCATCTTCTTCAACCACATTAAAGCGTTTCCGATATTCTTGGTCCAGAAATGAGTTTGGAGATTCAGATCCTGTATGAACCGGTTTCCCCACTATATGTCTGCCAACATCATCACAGGGGAGATTACCCTTTTCATCCCTTTAGTTAAAAAGAAAAGTTATTAATATATTGATATATTACACTGATTTTTTTAATATTGTAAATATTGCAATAAATATGGGTCTGTGTCAATATTTCATGCACTGAATCAGATGAAATCCACCCCACATCAGGATCACACAGAATATATGCATATGTATTCATTTATAGGCCAGTTACCTCACACATTTCTGTTTGTTCAGTTCTTTACTGATTTATCCATCTCACTGATTTCTCTTGAAAAAGTATTATAGAAATAAAATTGATGTGCAGTTACTCTTTTAATTTTTCTTCTTTTTTCTGGAGTCTACCTAGCACTTTGTGATGTAGGGCAGAGGAGTAATGTTTGCCTTATATTTTTGGCCTTACACTGGATATTTTTAAGACATAGCTACATGGCAAGCACCAGCAAACTCAATCTGGTTCCTTATACTTCATCCCAGATCAAGAAGAACCAGGCACAGAAGATGTACAGACACCTGACATAGTTTTGCACAATCATTTCTGGTCTAGAAGTTGTATAGGTACATCAATGCAGTTTCACATACAGTGTGCAGCACCTGCTTACCAGCTGCTACCCCAGGACAGTGCTAGCTTTGCACTTTGTGTCAGTTCCCCATGATCTTTTTGCTTTCCTCCACCCCTGCCCCACTCTTTGAAAATGGAAAATACTCAAAGGCATCAAACGAGAGCAGGCAGTGCTGGGTTAGGAGTCCTTTCCTGCATTAGATGAACCAGGACTCAACTAGTAAATGTGCAGCTACAACTGCCTGGAGATGGCTACAAAAGACTTGATCAGACAGTCATTTCTGATCAACAAAATAAAGGTACTCAGGAGAGAAGTAGGTATTCAAGAGGTAATCAAGAGACAAACTGGGCCATATGCTCTTGTTGGAGTCCTTCAGCCCCTGTGAACTTCCCTGTGAGTTCCAAGCTGGCCAGCGTGCTGGCCCCTGCTTCACCTGGCACCTTGAGACTCCATCTGAGGACCAAGCAAAGCCTCCTCATGGCACCCAGGCAGCCATGAAGGATGAGAGAAGGCCATCCTGCTTCAGTGTGACAAAGCAACATCACAAACCCCCACTGATCTCACACTCAGTTTGGCAAGCTGCTTTCCCAGAGCAGGCATGGTGCTGGCTCAGTGAGGGAGGCTGGCACAGCCCCAGCAGGGCTGTGGGCTCTCCTCCAGTCACACAGAGCCCTTCTGTGCTGACAGAGCTGGGGATCCCAGCAGGTAACACGATGGAGACTGACATAAACCAGCCAGATGCTAATTGATGCTGCAACCACCATCAGGGGCTGGTCCAAGGAAGGCAGTGCAGTCTGGCCTAGAGGGATCTTTACTGCAAGCATGGAGTTAATACAGAGCCATCAGGCACACAACCTTTGCCACAGCCCTCTAGAGATGAGGGCTCCAGTTCCCATCCCCAAAAGTTCTTGATAAATATGAGCAGGCACTAACACACAACCAGCACATGGAAAGTGTTGGTCCCTTTTTGTCATGCCATCCATGAGAGGATATGTCAGCCGCTGTAGTGTTTGTGGGTATCATCACCAAAGCTTTGAGTTTTACAATTAACATCAAAATATCGTCTTTTCCTCTATTCCAGTAACAAAAGGAGGCATGATTGTTTGCTTTTCTTCCTTTGGAATGGCAACAACAAACTGAGAAACAGATGTTGAGCAGTTTGATAATATCCAAAATACACACATGATTTAATATAGTTAATCATGAAAACCTGATGAAATACCCAAACAAATTATTCAGAAACACAGCACCCTATGTGAGAGGTGAAATCAAGAACAGTCTATTTGGATTAAACTGATGAAAAAATTCAAATGTACCAAGCTTAATCTCTCTACAAGATTACAGCTTGTACTAATATGTACTATAAGATTTAATCTGAATTGGTCCAAACTACTGCATTATCATCATGATTTAAGAGTTGTTATTAAAAATAATCAAAATTTGTTTGGAAGGTCTCAATTTGTACAGCAGAACTCAAAAACTGAGGAGTAGTGAATGTTTAGCAAAAATACTTTAAAAATGAGGATGCACTTCGTATCAAATTAAAATATTCTTGTGATGGTAAACATAATCAGTTTCAGAAGCACTAGGTTTTTGCCATATGACTACTGCATTCAAAGAGAAACATACCTATGACTACTCTTTGGTTGGGTATTTCTTCCTCCCAGCTTTTTTTATGTTAATGGATTAGAATTAAATACGTGGTTCTTTTCTGAAAACCGTGTCCTTAAAAATATTTGTGTGAGCATAACAAAGGATTCTTATCAGGGAGGTAAAATATGTATTACTGTATTTTACTGTATTACACAGTAAAATAGAGTACTGTGCACAATTCAAGTGTCATGACTAAGAATGTTCTCATGTAAAGAAAAAAATTAGTTATAGTAAACTACAGTATGTGTTAATTCAACTGGGTTATACATGCCACACTTGAAATAATTATTTTTTTCTCTGAGAAATAGAGACCAAGCCAGGGACAGATGAGGCAAGGATAAGGAAGGAACATAAGACACAGCTTAAGGCTTCACAAAAGGCTTCTGACATCCTCATGAAGTCAAAATCACACTTGTGCTCTGCAAGGTTTTTCATATCTCTGAAGAATAAGAATTTATCACAGAATCTCAACTTCTCCTCCCCAGTAGGCAATTTAACTTGTCATATACCTCATTCTTGGGCAAGGCCCAAGGCAAAGGCCCTGGAAAGTCCTGTCAGTATCAGGTCATACATCTTATTAACTGGCTAGAGGAGTTGCTGATAATGAAGTGAAAGAAAAACTCAGCTACAAGGAGCTCAGGTGCAAGAAAGAACACGCTGCCCTTATAACCTTTCCAAGAAAGGTAACTAAAAGAAAAACAATAATTAATTTAAAAATACATTAACTGGACATATGACAACCTATGCGTAATATTATGGAAGCTTTAGGAAATCTGATTGCTCTTAAATACAATCCTAAACCTCTGGGCAGCCACTTTTTGCACTGTTTGTAGGCCACAATTCTCTCAGAGTTTCAGGAATGCAACATCTGAGTACATTATGGAAATATGCTGAATCATTTGTGGTTGTGTAAAGGTAGGCTAAGGAGAATCTGCTGCTCTTCTGGCTCAGCAATTCCAGAGACCTAGGAGGGAAGACAATGCCTGTTCCAGGTGGCAGGTCAGGGTATCAGTTATGCTGACAGGGAACAGCATGGTCACTGCACAGTCAGGCAGAGTGGCCACACTAAAACACAAACCTGAAACTTGCTCTAATATTGGAAAAAGAAAATGCTATGGCAGGACTAAACAGTGTTGTTGTTAGAGCTCAAAACTTTCTTGCATTTAACTCAGACTCCCTTACTGCATTATGATTATTGGGCAAGGGGACAAATATGAGCTCCTTTCCTAGTTACAGATTCAGGGTTTCAGATAACTTCTGCTCTTCTGAATGAGGAGACTGTTGCAGACAATTGATTATTCCATATTTGAGAGAATAGGGTACTGAACCTCTTTTTATGAAAGCTACTGTCCATTTTGCAGACAAGATACTGATTCAGAATATTCTGGGTCTGATTCAACACATCTACCCTTAATACCCATTTTACCTGCAAAATACAGTATTAATAAAGTATTATCTACAGGGAAGACTAATAAATAAGTATTAACAGAATGGTCAGTTACTTTACAAACATTTTTTGTAACAAATTGTACTGTGAAATGGTCTTTCTTACCTTGGAACATAAGGTTCTGTTGGAGGAGGGGGTATGTAGAGATCCTGAAGGGCAGAGCTGTCTCTTTTTGTAGGTGTGCTGATAGTGCTGGATGGAGTAGCAACACTGCTTGTAGGGCTTCTAGGAATAAGAGGCTGATTCAAAAGAGAGAGAGAAATAATCAGGATTATCTTTATATATTACACATTTTTATTTGTGAAAGCCAAAACCAGAATATAGTTCAGAAAGCTAAAGAAATAGCAGTTCTAACATTCTGTATGCTTTTAAACTGACTAAAAAACCACTCATGCTAAGAGGACAGATCTACAAATGGACATGAATTGTGCTTATAAAATTGACTCCTCTGATTGCATTTTTTTCCCTGTAGCACAGCAAGTTTATTGCCAATGCCCATAAAATTAGTTATCACTAGAGCTACTGGTGAAATCTTAATGAGTAAATAATATACAGAATCCAGTTAATTCCTTAAATAAACATTGTAAAGAAAAAGTCTAGTGTTTACAGCAAAAGGTGCATAAGTAGGCATTAAATTGAATGTCAATTCCTTCCATCTGCTCTACAGCTTAAGAATTAACTGTAAAAGCTTCAGCTTATGCAGATGCTGTTAAATCAGGTACTGCATCCTCAGAGCACACATGCTATGAGAGAATCAACTGGAGATTATTATTATTCTTCATTCCCCTGAGCACACTTCTTACAAAGTAACATTTACTCACAGGTAAATAAACTGTACCCTCCCTGCAAAATAATAATGCATTCTAACTATAATTCCAGTCCGGATAGGATCCTTCCTCTTAATCACATTTTCCACAAGATTTTCACAAGATTTTCTAAGTCACTACACAGAGGCAGCAAAATCAAATGAGAAGAAAACTTTGATTTTTTTAGTCTACTTAATAACATGGCTGTTTAAAAACAAAATCTTTGTGTGGCTTGGTTTGTTTGATAGCTAAACTCAGGCAGAATAAAAAGAAAGAGCAGAACAGCAAGTACAAGAGTATCTTCATACACCCGAAAAAGAATCTAATATTAACATATATGGAGTTTTGCTTCAACAGAGTTTTTTCTCCTCCATCTTTCTGGAAGTTTACTCCTTGAATAAAGAAGTGCTAGGGATTGAAGAGAGTTCACTATACCTAAAATTTCTGACCTTAGGAACTACTTAAAGACACAAACATTCACAGTGTATTGATGGCAGAGAAGCTCTAAATGTGGACTGAAGGAGTGCATGGAAAGATCCATCTCCCAGCACCATTACTCATACTTTATGACAGACCAAGAATAGTAAATTCTTATTTTCTAGATATTAATCTTGACACTGTAGCAGAAAACCCAAAAAGTTTAAAGCAGGATCATTGCCAGAATGCTGGCCACTCATCAGCTGGTGATAAGCAATACAAATCCACACCTATCAAGCCAAGGTCCCACCACTGTGTTACTTTTTTACAATCTGTATGTAGGAACAATGAATATCACTTAGGAAAACTCATTCTGCCTAGTTTTTGGAACAGAGCTGTGTAAGGTGCTATGTAGCTCTAACATAATATAATGCTTAAAATTTGCTTGTTAAAACTTTGCAAGTCCACCTTTAGAGTAACAGCTATAAACTGACAAAAGTTTTCTGGTTTTGAATGTCCAAAATCTGTCTCCTATAAACAGTGATACTGCTTAACTCTTCCATTGCTCATTAATATTGGAGTTTATGTGAATATCCTACAGCCAGGCCAAAGAAGGAGTGTCAGTATTTACAGGAAGAAAGGGAGAAAGACACACACAAAAAACCAGACAGGTAAAAGACTTTACAACCACTAAAAACAAGACAAATCTGCAAAAATAAGAATAAATTCTGCAGCAAAAACAGGTCAAAAAACCCAAAACAACTCAAAACAATGAAGAACACCCTAAACACCCCCCCTCCTTCTTTCAGAGAAACAAAAATTTTATCCTTTACATTTTTATCTGTGACATTGTAGCCATAGATTTTTTTGAACCACTAATACAACAGTGTTTATTACCTTTCTGATACTCTGCATTTCTATAACAAGAACACTTTGTGGCTTGCTGAGTAGCTTGTTGAATTAATTTTCATCGTAAGCCGAGAGGATTTTGTGACCTAGATCCTGTTTACACTTGTTAAGCCCAAGCTGCTTGCTCATGGCTCATACCAGCAGAAGCACTGCGAGGAAGACAAACTGTGTAGGTGGGTTTGCTCTTCTCCATTTAGAGGAAGAAGACAAGCCTTTACTTTACCTACATGAAGAGGGAGGTAAGAGGAGAGGGGGACTTGGAGACTGGAACTGTGGCAGTCAATATGAGCTTATGGTTTATCTTACATAGCATTATTTTCATAGCATTATTTTCAATGCTCAAGCATAAAAGTGTTCTGGACTTAAAAGAGATTGATGTGCCTCTGGTGATCCTGACAAGCTGCTGGAGGGCAGGAGGACACAGGGAAAGAATTTCCCTTGTGCTACAGCCTAGAATACCTGCCTGCAACTATATAAATTCTAATGATATTGCCATAACTTCTGGAAAAAATAAAAGAAAAATTCTGAGGTCTGAGGAATTGGTTTGGTATAGCACACAGCCTGGACATACAAGTCAGTTTGTCCCCCAGGCAATTTGCTGGTTGATCCTAGAAATCAGTTTGGGTTTGGACATCTCTGACAAATGTGTATTTTGGTTTATCTTTCAGCACAGGAAGGTGATTGAAACAGTGAGTGCAACAGGAAGAAATGGTGCTCAGTCTAACACAGGAAGCCTATCCAAGCTATCCAACTTACTGAAGGCCAGTGGTTCCCTGTCAACCACTGTCAGAGGTGAAGACACAGTGTAACTGTGGACACTGAATGACTGTGGTACCTGACAGGACAGCGAAGTGAATTCACCATCCCAGGGCACCTGGAGCTCCCAAGGGGACAGAAATCATCATCTAATCCAATCCCTGTGGAGGCAAATCCTGTAGGATTGTCTAAAGACATACTAGGATGTCTCATATATTTTCCATATTTCTTTTACATTGCCAAACTCAACTCTCTGCTTATTTCCAAAGAAACAGAAACCTTGTCCAACTAGAAAAAAAGGGAAATCTTAATTTAAAAATAGGTCACCCCTTTTTAAAAAAAGAACCCCAGTCTTTATCATCACTACACCAGTAAATCAGTTGCTTACTAAGAATTTTTACATGGTAGAAACATTTAAATGGTCTCTCCTGGTAGTAGCTCAACACAGAGAGCCTTGCTGCAACTACCACTTTGTGCTGTAGAAGTTCAGCTTTCATTTTTATATACAGAATGAAAAAATCTTCAGACCCCTCTGGTTGAAAAGAAAACCTTCAGAACATGGCATAGATGTATGGTATATCTAGATAGCATTTTGATTTGAAATTTAGAGACCTCAACTGTTCAAGTCAATCTGGTCATGTGCAAGCAACCAGCTCATGGATCTCTCTGCTTCAATGGCAGCCACTCAGAGGGCCACATTCAGGCTCCTTGGACACAAAACCACATGCAACTGCAGTTAAGAATTTCTCAAATGGATGCCTTGGAGATCAGTGATATCACAAATTTAATTCTCTTCCAAAGATTAGAGATTCTCCTGCTGCAGTTCCTTCTGGCAGGCTGGCCAGAGCAAGTGGGATTGCTGAAACAGCAATGAAACTAAAACATTTTCAGGTATAAAGAGTTGAATACTTGGCCCATGGGAAAAGCCTGACAGAGAAAGTTTGGAAGTTACATATTAAAACTAGAACAACCTAAAAAAAAGTCCCACAAATGACCCTGCATGAATCTTAATCCACAATGACAGACACAAAATCTGTAATTCAATATATTTTGGAGTACTATTTCTCAAACATTTGGAATGCACCACCCTCCCTGAGGTTCATTAGTCTTTACAGAGCCTTCCCTGAACTGTTGCTTGGCTGCAGAACAGTTGTCAAAAAGGAAATCCCAGTCAGCACAGACTGACAGCACACAGTTCCCTCTCTTCAGCAGCTGTTCTGTCCCTGTTGGCTCTGCCTGTGGCTCCCACCTCCCTCTTGCTAACAGGACCCGTTGCTGCTTTTTGCACTCCTGGTCCTGAAGAAACTGAGAGGGTGTCCCAGTGAGTCAGCATATTCTTTTTGATTTTTCTATCTAAGCAATTAATGTAATAAATATTTAATGAATACTATCTAAAATTATTTTAAATGTTTTTTAAAACTCTTTGAACCTTTCATTAACACCCTTGGAAGCTGCAATGTAAGTTTGAGAAACATTGCTCCAAAAAAGACATACAATTTTTCAAAATATAAGCAAACCTAATACAAAATTTTAAATTACATTATATTTATACAGTATTTGCATCAATAAGCAGATTTTACTGCCAATGTATTTTTCATATTAGATCAAAATTACAACAATACATCGAACAAAATGTTTCCAATAAAATAAACTTTTTATAAGAACAATCATGACATGAAATAATGAGATACTGTAACTAATTCAGAGTTCATTTTAACAGTGCTACAAAGAATGCCCAGTTCCCATGCAGTTAAAAGACAACTAAGTAATTTAAAAGCAAGCAAGTGAGTATTTTATTCAAATTTAATAATTAAAAAGGGTAGGGTCATTATTTCTAGTCATAAACGATGAAAACAGTATTGTGTCTAGATGAATGAAGGAGGCAATATAATCAAATAGGAAAATATACTGAATAAAAATAATAAAAGCAGCATTTTCTTTCAAACAAAGGACTTCTTATTGTTACCTTTGCTTCTTAGGAAAATGAAAAGCTTAACATATAACAGTGGAAATATGATGCACATCTAATCCACAAGTTCTGTTAAAAAACTACAGATACTGAGCTGCTGGTGCTTTTACAACAGTACAATTTAATCAAATACAAAACAGTACAGCAAACTATAAAGATATACAAAAGGTGACATTTAAAAAGGCTTGGTGAAGGAGGGGTCAGAAGGTTTTTTTCCAAGTCAACACACCAGATGTAGCTGGCAGCTGGACCTGCCCCATCCTCACTGCCATGAGGAAGAGCCTTCTCACTGACACCAGCATTCCAAATTAATCGAAGCATGGCACATGTTGCTCTAGCACTCTTTTTCTGTATTGAAAAAAAATTGGATGAAGAGTCTTCCACACTGTAATTAAGTCCATTTTCTTTTGAATAATTAACAAAGCATTTTCCAGAAGACAAAGGAGGACTTTGAAGCTAGGTTCTTGCTAGTGTGCTGACAGCAACTTACACAAAATTTCATATGCTCTGAGGATCTTTATTGAACTTTCCATCCTTATTCCAACAGCACCTGAAGAGGCCTTCCTTTGAAACCTCCCCAGAATAACACAAAGTGGAAAGGAGAAATAAAACAGACAATCTAGAGTAGAGGAAATTTATTTCAGTTAGGTTTTGAACCAGACAAAAATTTGGAGAGTTCAAAGATAAAATCACCTCTGTGTCAAACAAGGAAAATAAAATAAAAAAAAAAAGGGTTAAAGTGAATTGGTTTGTTCACCATATTCAGTAGCAGTCAGAAATACAAATATCGCAAACTGCAATATCGTTCTAGGTTCTCACACAATGAATCAGCCTATCAAAAAAAGTAACTGAAAGGCAAATATAGTAAGGTTTGTCTTGTAGGCATAACACCTTAATATTTATGGTACAATACCATATTAATAATTACTTTCAATTTTTCAAAAGGCAACCACTAAATTCCCCAAGGCCACAGCTGCCTAATTCAACTGTTGAAAAAGCAGTAATAAAAAACACAGGCTGAAAAATCCCTTGACTTCACAAATTTGGACATGATTCTAAAATGCATCATGGGAGAACCTTGATTACCAGTAAGAGGTTGGATATTAAAACAGACAATCAACTCACTGAAAACACACACACACAAAAATCCCCAATCAACCAAACAGCACTTTCTTTAATCAGGACACAAGGGGAAAAAAAGAGGTTTTTATTTCTGTACTGATTGACCTTAGAGCTGGAATTAGTTCACTTGTAAATACAAACTCATTATGTAATGGTGCATGGTATAGCCAAAGGCTAATTGTATTATTTTACTGTACATCAAACCATTCTCTTTCAGGATGGCTACACCAGATGCATAATTCTTCTTCTTTCTCTCCCCTAACCTTTCATATTTATTCTAAGGACAAGAATATTTATGAAAAGAATAAATGTCAATGTTTCTGCTAAAAAGGAAAAAAACCCTCACAAATTATTAAGAATTAATCAATAATTATGTATCCTGCATTTAACTCCTAATTCATGGCAAGACTGCAATGCAAAGGCAGAGCTGTTCAAAGTAAACATCTGAAAATTCTAAGAAGCATTTATGCCAATTAAAGAGAGTTAACATCTGAATGATCTAAAAGCATTTTCTACACTTGGAGACTGTGAATGTTTGGCTGGCATATGGCTAACCTAGATCATAACAGTGGGCAGAAAGCTCTTAAACATTTCACTATCCGTTTATAATTTAACTCCTAGGAAACCCTAGGAGTGTGACCCACACACAAACCAGCTCGATACACTGGTGGTACCTGCACACTGCCTGAGCTGGGACACTCATTGAGCACTTTCCCAGCTCACAGGCATATTTATTATCTCTCCATTTAGCCTAGTTTGTAATGTAGCTGCAAATGGCAAACTTCATGTTCTTAAACACAACTGCAGACTGAACAACCTGAATGTCATTTACCAATAATGCCTCCTATTATTCACTTAAAGCTAAAATTAAGTTTCAAAGGTTCTCAATTTAAACATCACAATGTAAATTTTAATGTGAGTATTCTAATTTAAGACACTGAAATATTTACCTTCTACACGTATGGCATCAGCTGTTAAACATATTGATTGGTGGGATATATACAGAAAACACAAGTCTGATTTTGTCTCATCCTCCTTACATTAGGACAAACTTCCACCTTCCCACCTCATTCATCACAATATGATTAGGTTATGACACATTTTTCCTGTGTTCAATCCATTTGCAGAAACAAAAAGACCACAACAGTCTTTTTGCTGATCCTATTTCTCATTTTATCAGAATTTCATCCCCATATCTCATTCTATAATCTTTTGAATATTTTACACTTCAACAGAATTATTACTGAGTCACAATTTCCTTATAGCTTGTGTCCACTGAATAACACATATAGTTCAATTAACTTAACTCTGGGATGACAGCCCATTTATAACCTTCTCAAATCTTTCAAGACAACCTGATATGGGAAAACAAGTTAGCATAACCTCCCCTGCTTGCAAAGTTAATGCTAAGCACTACTTTCCTTTATGTTTTTTGGTATTTGATATCACTTTCCTTCCTCTCCTCTCACATTACATACCAAGCTTTATTGAAGAATAGCCCCTTTATGTAAATCAGGAACATAAGAAATTTCAGAACAGCCACAGCATCAAATTGCAATTGTTACACTTAATAGTTTTTCTGAAGATTTTTTTCAGAAAATTAGTCAAATAAACATAATTTCTTCATATTTTAACAGCTATAAAATTACACTGCACTCGAACTTCTTTTGATGCTTATTAATGATAAAATATACAGTACTGATTTCACACTTAGGCTGCATTTAAACTTCAACATCAGCTGACTTTAACATCTGTTCAACTCTGATGTGCATAAACCAACAACAGAAATTTCCACATTATGCATCTTCTGAAGTTTGCACTTCACCCTGGAGCTTTGTCCACACTCCGCCTACTTAAGAAAACTGTTGTTTCTCATACTAAAATTATAAATTACAACAGACACACATATGCCCACTGCACACATAAGCGCTGAATGAGGTTCTGGCCTTTTCCTGGTGTCGTGTTTGATAAAATCAGAATAATATCATCATGACACCAGAATTATATCTGCAGTGTTTAACAGTATCTCTATTTGTGCTCATATTAGTCTTGAAAATATTCATATTTTTCATGCTAACAGCAAGAACTGATCCTCTCACCCCCAATACTCCCATTGCTCCCCATTCCCCAAATCTGTAAGATTACAAAAAACCACTATCTAGGGTCAATGCCATCCAGTACAGATAATCTACATTCAAAGCAGCTGTCCAGATTCCCTTTATCATCAAATGCAGAGAAAGATGTATGTGCAGGGGCAAATTCACCGTATCCTAAAGGCAGATCAGTAGAAAACAGGCCAAGACAAATGAATCAGTAATTACTAATGCATGTCTGCTGGCCAAAGGGAGTTTAAATGAGAAACCTGAATGACATGTAGATATTTACATAGCAGATATAAAGTTAGATCAGTTGAGTAAGACCCAAGTACCTGTCAGAAACTTTTGATGTGGGGTCTGGAGCATAATTATTCTGGTAATAAATGCTAAAGTGAAGCAAAATGGAGTAGTTAGGAGCCTGGCCCAATTCACCTGAGGAAATACAAAACTCACCCAAGCTTGGTATTTAGACTGAAAGCATCTGACCCCATTTAAAGCAATGACATGTATTTACATTTGCATTTATAGTCTCACTAAAGCTATGGAAAAAGTGCAGCCTTCAAGTATAGACATTCATACACTCATTTCATGCATCCCGATTTGCAATTATATCTTCAGATACTAATTTCTGGTTGAAAGTTTTTGTCACATGTGTATTCGGCTCTTTATATGTGAAAGGCCAAAACATCTCAATCATTTAAAATCTTAGTTTCAAAGACTATAATGCATTTCACCATTATATAAATATTTACACACACACACACACACACATACACACACACACATAAATACACACACACATATGAAAGAAGTTCTTCACGGCATTAGCTTTTTATGTATCTCCTAATATGTCAAATGGCATAAGACCACAGATAATGGCAGTGGTATTTCCATATCCCATTTTCCTTTTGTCCAAACTTTGCAGAATTCTTTCCTTTTTCATATGTACTTAATTTTTAATTAGAACTTTTAGTGTGCTAATAAAAAAGTCCCAAATAATGCACTCTTTATGCAAACAAAATAAATTTCTTAACAGTATTCTGTTTGAACTGAATGGAAAAATGGATTATTGTTGGTTTCATCAGTTAGTTACATGCCTTCATCAGTCTGAACATAACTTTTATTTCCTAGAGTAATCCATCACAGTGACATTTTATCCTAGAGTTAAATGAAAGCTTTAATGAAACCATTCCATGGCTTCCCACAGGCTGCAGATTTACTAAAATTAAGTGCCCAGCCAGACATCCTGTGCTATGCCTCCTTAGGGCAAGCCTTCGGTCTCAAAGACAACTTTGACACAAGTACAGCTTTGTTTACATGAGGAAATTTTGATGGTCAAATGGTTTATTGAATACATTTACCTTATAAATTTTTCTATAACTCCATGAGTGATCAAACTGAGAACTCAAACATTTTTATCCCCTCTTTTTTGAGGTTATACGGTACTGAAATCTTCACAAGAAATCAAACTAAAATTTATTGTTTTGTGAAGTGTATTTGTCTCTCCTTAGCTAGAAAAAATTATCTGAGGCTATTTTTCTACATTGTAGAACACTGGGATGATTACTTCTTAACTTTGAAAAGTTCTAACAGGTTTAATTTCAATTAAGCCTATGAGAACAAATCGCAGAGAAATAATTTCAGAAACAATTTTTCAAAGTATACAAGAGTAAATCTATATGCTGCTGAGGATGAAGAACAATAAAGCATCATTGAGATAATCTATAGTTAAAATGATGGTGTATGACTTATGATTAAGCTTTATTACCTGCAGAGCAAGGGGCTTCCATCTCATATTTTTCAGTAAAGCTGGTGCTGAGGTAAGCATGCTCTGAGGTCGCTTTTTCAAAGTTAAGATAACACCACTCGGATCCTCTCGTAGTGCATTCACCAAATTTTTCAACTGCCACCCCACCTGGTAACCAGTAAAATCATTACAATAAAATTGAGGTACATTATTCAATATGTAATGTTCCCTTTTTAAATAAGATTAGTAAATAACATAAAGGAGTGTATATATATCATAAAGGAGATTAACACTAGAAATGTCGAAAGTTAATCACCGCATAAAAATCACATAAACTAAAATAGTTATTATAATGCATTGAGATGTATATGCATCATTTCAGGTTTTAGAATTAACAAACTACTGTTATTTCACTGCAAATGCACAATTAAATCTCAACTTAGTTCTGGTACATAGACTTTATGTACTAGACTAGAAAGATAAAAAGCCCTGGCTTTTGCATTGACAGTTCATTTCAAAACTGAGCATTTTGTACTTTGTGGTTACTATTCAAAGTCCACTAACCACATGTAGTCATACAGTACTACTCCTAGCAGCTTAGGCAAACACAAACCAGCTCAGGAAAACCTACTTTTCACACTGCTATAAAAATGAAGTCAGAATCACAAGGCCTTTTTAAAAATAGTGCTTCTTTCATAATGATTTCAGAAACAAATACAGTAAATCAATGACAGAAATGTAGTCCAGTATTTTGGGCTAATACTATGTATTAGCCCAAAATAAAATTTTCCTGATTTAATTATAGCATTTTGAAATATTTTAAAACTAAAACCTTGATTAAAATGGAAAGCAACAAGTTTCTATTTATAAATGCAAGGAATCTGAATAATTTATTTTGCATTTTTGGAAAAAGTACTTCAAATGCTAAAACATTTTAAGTTGTGGCAATGGTTTTAAGTCTGAATATGGCCTGATTATAAGGTATGTATTGCAAAATGCTTTAGGATAGTAAAAGTATGTTTTTTCAAGTCTGGTGCCTAAACTGGCAATACACAGAATCATACATCCCTTCAAAATCTTGGCTTGTAGATTCAGAAGTTGATTCTTTCTGTAAATTTGACAACTTTGCTACGTCTTTTTGCTCTGTCCCCAGCCCTTGCCCTGCTAAACAAACAAGTAAATTTTCCTAATTTGTAAATTATCACAATTAGGGATATTTTCCTTCTTTCACAATTTGTACAAGAACACTGTCAAGAAGAAAATTATCCAGCTGGGAAGAGGAAAAACAAAATCTAGAACTTTGAAGTGATAAGGTTATTTTACATTTGAATAATACATTTTAAAAATGAATTGGTAGTGTGAACAAAGAGCACAGATGTTCCTTATCACTGGTATAGTGCAACATGACACAAACATATGTTACCTATGCTTAGACAAGATAATCACGTGTAGGTTGTTGCTACTTATTTTGTACCTTATTCCCTATTACAACAAGCCTCACTTTGGTTAGTATCGTTTATTTTAAGAACTTCTTCTCCCAAATAAGCACCCCTTGAACCAACACTGATTTTACCAACAACCCTGAATCACAGACGTGACTCAAATCCCATCACCCTTTCTTCAGCTCCTGTGGACCTACCTGTCCTGTTTCCACCACAGCAAAGCCCAATATATCCAGGATGCACTTCTACAGTAAGGTTATTGTATGCAAAGAAAAAGGGTATTGATAACATGCATCTTGATAGAATATTTTTCAGCTTTCACAGAAAACTTCCAAGCATGCTGAAATCCTTAATTTTAGTCCCATTTACTAGGCATATGGCTACTGTATTTCAAACAAAGTGAAACATTAAATTAACCAACTCCATCTCAATTCTCACATCCTACTGAAGTTTCCATTGTGTTTCAACAACATTTAAACAAAATATCTTCAAGCCCAAGCTTTGTGTGTAAAGACACTGCAATCTTATAAAAAAAAAAAAAAAACCCAACAACTTGCTATTTACAATATGGTTTTCTTATTTTAGAGAATACCACTCCTCAGGAGCAATATATTCCCCTCAGTTACATAATGTCACTGTGGGCATATGTGAGGTTTCACTTGCTATCCAAAAGAAGGAATTATTTGCCAACAGTTCATGTAAGCTATCTCTGTACCTAAGGTACTAAACACTGTAATTTCCTAATGCAACAACTTTAGAGCAATTTGTGGAGCAGAATCCTTCTGCTGAACAAAGCAGCACAGGGAGCCTTGAGGAGAACAGGATCTGATCTCAGTTATGGAGTCAGGATGTAAAGTTCTTCCCAATTAAGTTGGTAGGACACTGTATGCAAAAACTGTATTTTAAAGCCATCTGTTTCTCACTGAAATAGCCAGAGGAATATAAATAAAACTGGGGCTTTTGCGTTATGCTAGCATTTTAAAATTATTTAAAATGCACTTTCATACTTTGCAGAGATAAACTGTCTTGTGTATTTGAAATATGCATTACACTGCAATAAATGGGAGATTATCTAGTATCTTCATAAGAGTTTGGGGGATTAAAGAAAAAGATACCTTCAAAGCACTAAATCTGATGTATTTAATTTAGAAGCTCATAAATGAAAACAATTTATCTTAATTTTTCACAGTGAAATTCTGAGTTTACTATAAATTTCAAATGAAGTTCATCCTCTGCTTTTATCTAGTTCCTGGCAGACGTTTTCTGGCTGTTCAGATAGGCCTTGATGGCTTCTCATAATTTGAACAAAAAGTACTACTTTGGCCTAAGAGGAACAAGTCACATAAAAGGCAGTCAACAACCAATTGAAGGAAATAGATGTCCACATAGGAGGCCTGTTTTCAAGTTACAATATAGCTCAGATCCTCTCAAAATTCATTCTGACACAGGCAAAACAATTTTTTTTTGAGGAGGTCAGGTTGGAAAGCAGAAAAAGCAGGGACTATATCTGGAACTGAAAACTCTTTTTCAGAAATCCACTTCAGCGACACGTAACTTACCCTTTAACTACAATTTGGTTTTATTCTCTCTAACATCTCCTTTCTCATTACCACAGTTAAAAATTTGCAACTTCTAATCACTGTATTTTTTGGGCAGAATTTTCTAAGTTATCATATCCTTTTCTATCACATCCTTGCCCATGTACTGCAAAAAAAGGACAGTAACAAGAAAGTTTCAACACTGGTTTGAAAATTCAATATATATGTAAGAAGACTGAATTAGCAGACAACTTTACTTACAGTAAAATAACTTGAGCAATTAATTTTGAAAACAGTGCACTATGCCGACCAAGTGGCCATTTTTAAGGGCCAAGGAAGTTACTGTTGCTTGCTTTAAAGTAAATTTACACTGTTAAACTAGTGCCACCTAGAAGCAGCAGTCAGGGGGGGTGTCTTTGATGGCAGCCCAAGCCCAGCGGTGGCTTTCACTCCCGTGCCTGAATCCCTGTGCAGCTCCAGGCCAGGAGCAGGGACGGACCAGGGCAGCCACTGGTGCCCCAGGGGTCGTGGTGAGATGGTTTTGCCAACATTACAGCAACTCTGCTGGAGAATCTGCCGGGGAAGGGAGGGACAGAAGGGGTGACCCACACCTGAGGAGCAGTGGCCCAAGGCCAGATCCACAGCACTGCTGGGGTGGCAGGGGCACCACGCTCCCAAAGAGGAAGAACCCGCACAGAGACACAGCCTGCACACAGGGTGCCTAGAGCACCAGCATCAGCCACATCCACATTCTCATCCATCCCATCCTACCTGCGCAGGGACTGGGACCAGCCTCACCAGAGTGCTCCAGAGACACTCAGGACACCCAGGTTGTTCAGCAGGGCAAGACTGGCACCCAGGAGGGAGCCCTGCACAGCCCTGACACATCCTCCTCATCTCCCTGCCAAGCACCCACCTACCCAAATCACAGGAAGCTTTAGCAAAGGGTGCTTTTAGAGGTCCCCACCCACCACCTGGAAAAAAGCATGCTTTTTTCCAGGTGGTGCAAGTTGAGACAGACTTTAAAAGATCTCTATGTTTCTTTGGCTTTCAGCAAAGACATCTGGATAACACTACTACAACAGCCTGAAATTAAACTTTTGTTTTGAATTTCTATTCTAAATCCTCAAGAATTTCACTTTCAAATAATTAAAAGTTGCTCTTAAATAGGTTTTTTCCCCCCAAATGAATCTGTTGCCCCTCTTATATAAGACTATCTTAGAAGATTGGAAATAATCTTGCTTTTTCTGAAAGTAAGTATGACCATTCATTGAATCTTTTTTTCACACAGTTGCACTCATGACAGTATTTCCATATTCCTGTACTGATTCGTGAGTACTGCTGTATGTTATGATCCAGAAAGGAGATCTGTAAAGTACTAACATGCAGGCAGCTCAAATAAAATTGGATGGCCATACACCAACTATTTTTAGGATGTTATGAAATAACCTACAGTCCGAAAAATCTAGGATTTGTCTCCCCAGAGAACAGCTACATCATTTAAAAGCAGTGTGCAAACCCAGTACGCAGTGAAACTACATCATCAAGAGGGTGGAATAACAGCCAAATGGTAAATAGAAGAGAGTTCATATTTTTACAGGCATAATTCTATTCTGAGGGTGACCCGAGTGAAAGTTAATGAAAGCTTTCTGTATCCATGAAAAGAAAAGAATTACTTTAATTATTTCCTGATTTGTAGATTTTGAAAAGGTAAAAGTAATCATATATTTAAACTTTTGAAGAAAAAATAATACCTTGCTGCTAAATATAATCTGTTAAGCCATTTCCCATTTTCTAACTATGCAAATATGCACAATCCACTCTAGTGTCCAAATTTCAAAAGTTGGTGGACTAGGAAGATAACCAAAATTATTTTTCTTTTAATGTTGCCTGTAATGAGTTGCATGCACCCAGAGTACTTTGACTTAACATTTCAGGCTTCAAGCTTTTACTCATTTTTCAGCTAAAAAACCTAAACAACTTCTAGGAGGAAAAATGTATTCACCTTAAGAAATATATTTTTTAAGACCTCCATATTAAACACCATCTTGCATTTAATGAAAAAAATAAGTGCATAAGAAAGGAAATCCCCAACACTGCACATTCCCCTTCAAATAACAAATATCAAACATAGCATGTTGTAAACAACTCAGAATTTGACAAGAAATTTGGCAGTGTCATGCTGCTA